TATATATATATATATTTGTAGATTTTATGAATACGCATACGATAATTTAATTCTCAAAATTCGAAATGAAAAAAAGAAAAATGCAGTCTTCTTAAAATAAGGGGGCGAAACTATTGTATCGTTTAAATGCACAGTACCACTGATTAAGCGTTAACAGCCAAGTAATATAAACTTACCTGTTTTAATAATTAACATCAAATTCGAGTTACCTTCACCACCAACCCCACTCCCTCTGCACGTATTATTTGATGTTTTTATTCAACTTCTACTTGTTACAATAATCAATATATAACATTAGGGGATATTACAGGCTAAATTGTGGAACAGTTACCGCTTTGGGGCACAAAATTCTTGGCGCACAAATTCGAAAAATCATGTTATGGAAAAGGTATGTCAGAAATCAATACAAAAAAATAATAAAAACAAACGAAAATTTCGCTCAGATCATTTCCTCTATATCACGTCTTTTGGTTTTTGTCTTACTCCAAAACCCGTCTGAGTAGATGCACATAAATATAACATTTAAAAGTCATTAGTTGTTGCTTTTTAAAGTCATTAGTTGTTGCTTTTTTAAAGTCATTAGTTGTTGTATTTTAAAGTTATTAGTTGTTGTATTTTAAAGTTATTAGTTGTTGTATTTTAAAGTTATTAGTTGTTGTATTTTAAAGTTATTAGTTGTTGCTTTTTTTTCAATTAAAAGTATCTATTAATTTATTTCCATTAGAGTGCGCCCCCCCTACAACCCTCACCTCAGATTCTCAGCAAGTTTCTGCTCGATTACCGCCGCCCAAATTAATCTTCTGCATTACCCTCTGAACATCATACCATTAACACCTTCCTCTTCCCCAGTTCAACTAATCGAGTAATTACATCGGCTGAACAATCATTAGGTGGCGGGTTCACATAGAAACTCCATAGTTTTCAAAGAATTATTACGATTTTATATACTGGTTTTTAACAGTGAACGAGTCTTGTATAATTGTGGTATCATATTCTTTTATGAGATATAATATTTTCAAGTTTATAAAAATGATCATCATCTGGACTTAATGTGTCACGTAAAAAGAAAGAAAGAAAGGGACAGCAAGGTGTGAAAATTTGTTTTAAACAGCAAAAAAGGTAAGTCACAAGTGAAAATGTGTTAAAAGTTTCTCTAGCGTATTGTATATGCTTTTAAAAAGAAAACGACAAAAATATACATTGTTGGTTCTTTTGAATTTTATTTTTACAATCAATGCTCAAGAAGTTTATTTTCGAGCACTTTAATATATTCACTTTATTTTGGTCACACGTGTGCACCACGGGAATAGGGAGGGGCTATTCGTAAGACGTTTTCTCTAATGAGTATTTTTGAATGTTAAACTTGCTGTTGACTTAAGAGCAACATGTTATCAACAATCAAAAAAATTATTATTATTTTATTAGTATTACGTCTTCTTAATAGAAATGTGTGCGAAAATCTAATGGCAAAGCGCAATTAAAATGAGATTCATATTTTTTCAAACAATTATATTAAGAGGGAAAATATTTTGTAAATATGTTCCAAAATTCGAAACAAAAAAAAAGCAAATGAAAATTACAATTTCATTAAAATGCGGGGGGAGGTTGTACAACACCGAAACGTTTATTCAATGTGTTTTGTGTTATTAAAATCATCTTATTTCTGGCTCAACTTGAAAGTTACGTTTAAAACTAATTTTCTTTCGACAAAATACAATAAAACGGATAAAGCGAATGTCTATTACAATTAAGATCGGGACATCAAAGGTAAAATGAAGGTAACACTGTAACATCGGCTGCCGATATACTCAACAATGTACTTCAGCATTACTATGGTAACTATATACAACAAAGGCGCCGAGTACGTAGGGAAAGGGTTGCATGACCCAGCCCCCGGTGAAAAGTGCAACGTAATATATTATTATGAGATGCATTCAGTGATGTACATTTGTTGTTTATAGCTGGTCAAGCCCCCCACCCCAGTGGCTCAGAGATAAGTCTGAAGGCTTATAATGCTAAAAACCAGGTTTAGATACCCGTGATGGGCACAGCACTATCAGTGCTCTGCGCTTAACAACTAACAGATACTGGGTCAATGCTACGTGCTCAGAAATGCTGCCTCAGCTGTCATTATGATTACGTATTAATTTCCATTTGGGGGCAAATATAAAAACCTGTCATGCCTCAAATGTTCCAGATCTGTAACCCTAGGATTGTAAGCCAAGTTGTAACCCTAATCTTGGCCGTTCTGGGAAAAGGAAAAGTCGGTGCCTACGATAAACACGTATATCATGTCAATTTACCAGCAAGTCTGGACAGCTTTGCTTCTCACTGCTTTTGGAGCACATTTTCGTTTAGCTCAACAATTTGTATTAACACCACTTTTCAATTGACATTATTTTTATTTGTGTATAATATATACATACAAACGTAACACAGATATTTGTTTGTTTGTTATTAGGCTATCTGTGCTCTGCCCACCACGGGTATCGAAACCCGGATTCTAGTAAGTCCGCAGACATGCCGCTGTGCCACTGGGGGGCAACACAGATGTGTACGGAATCATCAACCGGAGATTTTAATTCTAATTAATCCCGGCCCTTGGATATTTAAAGAATACATGTTCAAATGGAATTACTCCATGTATGTTAATTTTAATTTCAGTTAAAAAATATTTGTGATCCAGAACAGAATTAGAAAGAACAGAACCTCGATTAACGGTCATCGCGCCATTAAGGGCAGATCTTTTCAGTCTCATTCTTTTTTCTACTATTTTTAACCAAACTATATTTTGCAATAACAGGCACCTTGATGTTCCAGATTAAGGGCAGTGTCTTTAGTCTCGTTCTCTATACCGGCACTCGATAAAACGGGAAGTTATCTTTGTATGCCTGTACGATATACAGCTAAATTCCAAACATCCCAGAAGGATGACCAATATTCAAACACTTGCGATGCTTATTGGATCGGCTCCGAACCATATACTGCAATAAACGTTTTCACATATTCCAAGTGCAATGTTATTACTCTGGGTAACTCTTGTTGTAAATACTGTTGGATACATCAGCTGATAAATTTCACATCGTGTTCTGGAAGAAGTAGTCAAATCAGCTTATTTCTGTGTGTGTGTGTGTGTGTGTGTGTGTGTGTGTGTGTGTGTGTGTGTGTGTGCGCGCGCGCGCTTTGTTGCTCTCGAGAGTATGGTATTATGATGTCACGTAAACAGCCTAATGACACGAGCGGTGATTTGTCGCTATATTTTCAGCGGATTTCTATTTAAGTCATTGACAGTTAAATAAACATAGAAAATAAATGTGAAATGTTTAGCAGTTCGAACTCTGAAGAGAAGTACTTTGAAACTTTGTGACCAATAATAAAGAAAAAAGGCCACAGCTAGTCCACCCTCTGAGACCTCCTGTTGACAACCTCCATGTCATGGCAACGTGCAACTCACGAACACCCGTGTCCTGCAATACACCAAACAAAATGGTGGGCCGTAAATTTCAAAAATTTATTATGGTCAATATGGAATCCAACTTTGCATGGCTCATTTTTTATATTAAGGGCACTTTGATATAGAGGGAATTTGGACACAGTCGGAAGGGTGCTCTAATGTCGAGATTCTACTGTACTTAAATTTGACAGTTAGAAATAGATTCACGTATCTGAAATAATAAGTCAAATATAAATAAGATTACGATTGAAACAGTTTTGTTTTAGACACAAAGCTACACAATGGACTACCTATGCTGTGCCCACTGAGGGTCGCGAACTTATTAGCATTATAAGTCCGAAGGCTTACCGTTTTGTACAGTTCATGGTGAGGTAGTAATTGTATCTGTAAAATATTAAAATTAAAATAAAAACATCGGAAGGGACTACAATTTTGTGGCGTAGAGGTTAGCTTGCTTCAAGTGTGAATTAGAGATGTTTAGTTTATCAGTTCAAATTTGCAGATGACTATGCGTAAAAATTATGAAAAACTTTGCGCACAGAAAAAAAAGCTTTCTTAATTATTATTTACAAATTGTTAATACATTTTAATTTATGAATACATTTTACTTACTGTTATTCTGTTATAAAAAAGAAGTGGGACGTTTAATTTTTTGAATGATAGGGGTGTTCAGTGTGATGTGTGGTAAACTAGTTAGAACAGAAACGACTGGAGTTTACAGATTGGCCCAAAACCTTCACAGTCTACAATTAACAGGTCCAGTGGCAGGTTTTCCTTAGCCCTAGTGCAGGGGTCTCCAAACCTTTTTGGACAAGGGCCGGGAGGTAGATCTTTTTAGGCTTCGCGGGCCGGAGGGGTCGTGGTAAAATTAAGTAGATGCATACATGATCAGATTGGCTTTTGCTCAGTTAAGTTATATTTTTTACAATATTAAAAAATTATATTATTATTTTAATAAACTGTTGGTGGGCCTGATGCGGCCCGTGGGTCGTAGTTTAGAGACACCTGCCCTAGTGTAAAGACTTATAACGGAACCACTATAATCTTAGTTCAGTTTTACAGGAAACAAAAAAAGGACAATACATCGAGAAAAAATTACTTATAGAACTGAACAAATAACAACACTTCAATAATACAATAAAAATGCGAATATTAAAGGTATTTATTTTATTCAATGATATTTTTCTAACACCAATATTTGAAGCCACCTACAATACAGATCTGATAGACATAACAGGTCTTACCGAAAGTGCTATATTAACATCGAATATCATTCATTATTTTTAATGGCTGGTGTTATATATATATATAGTGGTATGCAAAATACCGATATAACTTTTCGGTGTCCCTTTGCAAGTGGGACCTCTTTGCGCAGACTATGACAGTCCAATGATCCATTTAGGAACTTTATCATTTATTGCTGGACATCTGCCAAATGTTCTCGGCATTCTCATTGTTTCCCTAAAAATTCGTCGCAAAAAGAAATTATTTATTTTTCTCCCAAGATGTCCTCGAAAAATAAGGATCAAGATTTTGCCGACAAAATTCACAGAAATTTGAATTTTTGCTAAGAAATGGAATATTGGGGAGCTGCTCCCTCATTTCGAAATCCAAAGCTCATCACAGCCAAAACCCGCGCCCCGTGATAAGAACAAGGATGTATGCTACAATCATTTTACAGCAAATATCCCAAACAATCTGAAATATTTCGGAACCAAAATTGTTTTTCATCCAAATAAACAAACAGCCTGAAATAAAGAAAGAGTATACAGTCAAAGGTTCGATTTCAGCGATAAAATATCGCAAGTTACAAATAAAAATGATAAATTCAGTGTAGTAGAATTATGATTTTAGATGAGTCAATGTATTTGAAAGAGCTACATTTGGCTCATTAACGAGAATAGACCATCTGGCATTGGTAAAGTCTCTGGATGTGCGGGGCACAATGGGTCGGCAGACGACGATATTGAGGATCATATCCCAGTTAATGTAGTACCAAATTTGCCGACTTTACGGGGAGGGTTAATTGATACACAAAGCGCATATGGACGTTTCAATAATAATTTATGAGATTTAGATGAGGACCACTTAATGACCAATCCATGGCCTTTATGACTATGCCCATCAAAATCCTGAATATAATTTAATCCAATACCAAATCAACATAGCATCCAGCACTGACCCCCCTCCCCCCTCGTTCGTCGGAAGCACAATAGGAGATCTGTACGGGCACTCGTCATAAAGGAACTGCCTCCAAAATGGTCACATCCAACATTTTCCCACTGACCACAGATCTTACTCGTTATTTTCCAAACTTGAATCGTCCTTCACAGATATTCACATGAAACCATTCAATATATTTTGTATATAATTAAAATAATAGTTGGCACAAGTATGATAAGTTGTTCAGCAAACTTGTGTTGATATATTCCTACACTAATGTAGAGTTCAAAAGGATTCGGGTAATCTTGTTTCCTACACTAATAAGAAGTTCAAAAGGATTTGAGTAATCTTGTTTCCCACGATAACAAAAAAGTATCATTATCACAACATAAATTAAAAGACATTAACATATTAAGTTTGTGGTGTTTAACAAAGTTTCATACGGGTTAGAGAGTTGAAACAAAGGACTGATTATTACAAAGTTGATAATAATGCGATACGAAAAACAGCAAACTCTGTATACTCTAGAAAATTCAATTTTTCGAACCTGAACGAGTACAAAGGAACCTGCTCAGTGAAGTCTTGTTGAAGTAACAGCTACAGAAATAATATCAACAATAATCATCTACAGCAGGATATTTTTTTTGCTCATTGACAACTTTTATCTAAAAAAAACATTTACGATACTGTTTACTGAAACATTTATCCTTACACAGATACACCACACACAATGAATTACACAAGTATTTGTTATCCTTACACAGATACACCACACACAATGAATTACACATGTATTTGCTTGGGCTCACAATTCTGATTGGTAATTTGTTCTAAAAAAAACAAAAACAGATTGAAGTCTTTTATTACCATGACAACCAATCTAAGTTTCCGCTTATTGAAAGTCCTTGCAAATATTAACCAAAATAATAAGAAAGGAGGTATTTAGAAACACAAACAAACAATAAATGGATAATTTCTTTTCTAGTTGCTTGGAAGTAGGAAACTACAGAAAAAACTTAGTCATAAGTGAATAAATATATGATTTACACTAATGCTAAGTTTAATGAGCCGTTTTATAAGTTTTATACACTTGCCTTTATTCGTATAAGAAACAGGATCAGAGTAATCATGAAGATACGTGTTTGTGTTTCAGTAACTGTCTTTTTTTCTTCTGTTACAATAATTGGATGCGATGTCATCAACCGTGCAAGAACGTGTGGAAATTATCCTGTTGTTGTGATGTCAAAAGTCGAAATTTTGAACCACTGTACAGGCGGAACTTCACAATGGTATGTAACTTTCTGCAGTATTATTAATACACATATTAAGATTGTTTGTTTGTTTGGAATTTCGCGCAAAGCTACATGAGAGCTATCTGCGCTA